AGAGAGAGGGAACAGGAACCCTAAGCAGGGGCCCCGACTCCGGGCTCTGTCTCATGACCCTGAGATGATAATCTTGAGCCAAAATCAAGAGTCAGTAGCTTAACTGACTGAACCACCCAGGCGACCCGACTTCTCTTAAAGTTAATTCATTTTGTGGAAACTATAAGGGAAAATTGTGGGGTGTCCAGGTGATGCACTGTTACTGTATTAACTCAGCAACCCCTGTGAGCTCCTGTCTGCGCCCCGTCCCATCCCCTGCTTCATCCCACCTTCTGGTTTCAGGGACACTGAGGAAGTGTCATCACCCCGGTTCACAGATGAGCTAACCAGACCCGGAGAGATGAGGCAATGCGGTGGAGGTTGTGGGAGAGCGCCATGGGATTCCTACGGGACGCTCAGGCCGCATGCTCGGTGCTGGGTGCTGGGTGCTGGGTGCCGGGTGGGGGCGGCGCTCTCGCCGGTCCCTACGGTTTGGCTACGGTGCCTGGTGCCTATGGTGCTGGTGCCCACGGCAGGAAGAGGATCAGCCCAGCGGGAAGGCTGCGGGGGGGTGGGGGGACCGGATTCCCGCAAGCCAGGGTGAGCCCTCCCAGCGGCAGCCCCCAGCCCCCCGGGGGCGACCCTCCCCGCCCGCCGCCGGCCCCACCGGCCCCTGGTGGCCTTTCCGAAGGGTGAAGGGTTGGGCGGGAAGCTCACTTCCTCTCGGCCCCTGCGCACCCGGGGGCCCTCACACCGGCAGCTTCACTTCTGAGTCAGAGACCCAGTCGCCAGGGGGCCTGGGGACGCCGCCACGCAGATGGCGGCTTCTGGCTGCCGCTCGGGGCGCCGCGGAGGGACCCGCCACCCGCGGGCGCGCGAGCCGGGGTCCCCCCTGCGCCCCCCCTGCGCCCCCCGCCGCGCCCCCACGTGTGCCCACGCGCCCCCCCGCCCCTCCCCCCTGCGCCCCCCTCCGCGCCCCCCACGTGTGCCCACGCGCCCCCCCTGCGCCCCCCTGCGCCCCCCTGCGCCCCCCGCCGCGCCCCCACGTGGCCCACGCGCCCCCCCTGCGCCCCCCTGCGCCCCCCTGCGCCCCCCCTTCGCCCCCCCCGCGGCCCCCACGTGCGCCACGCGCCCCCTTCGCTTCCCCGCGCCCCCCACGTGCGCCCACGCGCCCCCCCTTCGCCTTCCTCCCGCGCCCCCCACGTGCGCCCACGCGCCCCCCCTTCGCCTTCCTCCGCGCCCCCCACGTGCGCCCACGCGCCACCCCTTCGCCTTCCTCCACGCCCCCCACGTGTGCCCACGCGCCCCCCCCGCCCCTCCCCGCGCGCCCCCGCCGCGCGCTCCGCAGCTGTCAGCTCAGGGGGCGGGCCCCGGGGCGCGGGGGCGGGGCCGAGCCGGCGCGGGGCCCCCATTGGCCGGGAGGGCGGGGCCGGCGGCGCGGGGGGCCGGGCGGGGGCGAGGGGATGAATGGAGCGGGAGCGGGGGCGGGCGGCCTCCAGAGCGCGGAGCGCGGCGCGGCGGCCGGGTGTCGGGACGGTGAGTGGCCGGGGCGCGGGGCCGGCCCGCTGACGTCAGGAGCGCGGCAGGTGCCCGCGGACGCCAGGCTGGGCCGCGGCGCGAGGTGGCGCCGGCGGGGCCGGGCACGGGCAGGGGCACGGGCGGTGCGCCCCGCGGCCCGGCTGCCCCGGGAAGCGCGAGGCGAGTGCGCGCCGCCGCCCGCTGCCCCGGCCGGAGGCCTCGGAGGAGGCGGGAGGGCAGGGAGGCAGGGAGGGAGGCAGGGAGGGAGGCAGGGAGGCAGGGAGGGAGGCAGGGAGGCAGGGAGGGAGGCAGGGAGGCAGGGAGGGAGGCAGGGAGGGAGGGAGGGAAGGAGGGAGGGAAGGAGGGAGGCAGGGAGGGCGCGGCAGGTGCCGGGCGCGCACGCAGGTGCAGGCCCGCGGGTCGGGGCCGGACGGACGCGCCTCCCCGGGGCGCAGAGAGGCGGCCGGGCCTCCACCTGCGGCTGCGGCTGCGGCTGCGGCTGCGGCGGGGCCCGGGAAGGGATGCCCAAGCGCACAAGTTTCTTGGGCGACTGGGCTTTGTGGGCTCCAGCTGCGCCGCAGGCACCTCGGGGGCGGGGGCGGGGGGGCTGCGCCGGCGGGTCCCCAGCCCCGGCAGCGCGGGCACCGGCTCGGTGCGGCGGCCGGAGCGGGCGAGGGGAGGACGGGAACCCGGATGCGCACCGGGGCCTGCGCGGCCTTCCTCGGAGGACGGGAGGCGGCGGCGGCCCGAGCGGGGCAGGGGCAGGGGCAGGGCAGGGGCAGGGCAGGGGCAGGGGCAGGCCCGCGGGCAGGGGGCGGGCGGCGCGCACGCGCTCGCTGGTGGGCGTGGGCGGCTGAGCCGGCGGCCGCCCGCTGCCCTGGGAGGCGCGGGGGAGCCTCGGTACTTTTCCAGCCGGAGGGACCAGCTCAGCTCCGCGTGGCCCGCCGCCCCTCCCGCTGCCTGCTGGGCCCCGGGTGCCTTCCCTCGCACCGGAACCGGCTGCCCCGGGCTGGGACCCCGCGCCCAGCACAGACCGCGCTGGCGGGTGGAGCCGGGGGAGAGGAAGCCTCTGGTTTCCGCAGGTCTCCGTGTGACCCGGGGGCCAGTGCGCTGGCGCGGGAGGGGCTGCTCGAGCACCCAGAAGGCGCTCCGGGCCCCAACAGCGTCCCAGGAGGCCTGGCAACGCGGCGGCAGGTGGCTGCTATCTCTCCCATTTTACGGTTGAGCAAACTTGCCCAGGGCGCCCAGCCTGTCCGCGGTGGGGAGGTCGCGGTCCAGTTTCGGGGGACTCCAGACATCTTGCAGCTCTGTCCCCGGCGGGGAGGACACAACCCCGGGAGCCAGGCGTGGCACAGGGCAGGGCCCCAACAGGTGGGCCCGCCGCAGAGGGGCCCAGAGCCGTTGGCACAGGGAGCCAAGGCCCGCGGGAGGCAGGGAGGGGGCCTCTCAGGGAGCGCCCACAGCCGGCTCTCCCAGGTGCCGCGCAGAGGGAGGACGGAACGTCTGCTTTCCTGCTGGGCAGGGCTGGCGGCCACTACCCGGGAATTTTTTATGGGGCTACTTCCCTCCTGGGTGGCTCTGACCTAATCTGCCCTGGGTGTGGCCCCTCACCTCAACCAGGTCCCTGGGCAGGTCCCAACCAAGTCAGGTGGCTGGGTGGTCAGGTGGCTGGGTGCCGGGAGGTTAGGGACGATGGCCTAGGGGATGGAGGTCTTGGGGCAGCGCTCCTGTGCTTGTCAGAGCCCCCGATTCTGGCTGACCCCGCGCAGAGCCTGGCTCCCTGGGCTCCGGTGGACCCTTGCCTTGATAAGCCACGGCTGTGGCTCGAGCTCTGGGTCTCTGTCTGGCTTCCAGACGATCTAGAAGTCTCCATGAATGTCGATCCATTTCCAGGTCAGCGCTGCTGAGCCGGTGTCGGTTCACAGCCCTGCGGACTCGTGCTTACCGTGGCAGTTTTGGTGCTCAGGGCCTCCCCGTGGGTCGTGGGCAGGTAGCGGAACAGAGCCTGGTATCGCGGTCAGAAGGGATGGGCAGCTGGCCCCGCAGGTACCTGGGGGACTCGCCCCGCCATACTTCTGCTTTCTCCAGTGTGGACAGAGGCCGCAGAAATAGTCCCTCCTGGGCCACGTGGCCTCCTGTTCTCAGGAGTGGCAAAGAGCCCATTGTCTGCTTTTGGAAGGGGATAGACAACAATCCTCAGAACCTCTCAGCCGCTTTTGTTCGGGGACATTGAGCTGCTTGTCTTGCCCCGGCGTGCTGCTGGTGTGTGGGAGCCCGCTTCGGGGCAGGACCCAGTGTCCCCCGTGGCAGGTAACCGTCAGGCCTGTCAGGACCCCTCCCCATGAGCCCGAAGGAAGCACCAACTCCAGTCTCTGGTGACCAGTGCTCTTGTGTGTGGGTGGACCCTGGGTCCTGTGAGCAGGGGAAGGAACCGGCCTGTGGGGCCCCCAGTCACCTCCCCTGCTTGGCTGGTCAGGGGGACCCTTTCTGCTGCAGGCCCTTAGCTGCTCACCGTGTGGCCGGACAAGGCCCACTGAGGACCAAGCCCGGGGTCCGGAGAGTCACAGGCTCCTGGGCTGCAGAGCTTGAGGCGTCCTCTGCACCCAGTGGGACCGCCCTTCGTCAGTGGTGTTTTCTCCAGGAAGCTTTGGGGGAACCTGAGATGTTGTTCCTTGGCCCAATGCCTTTTAGGGTTTGGGACAGGCAGGCTGAGTGGCACCCCATTCCCACCGCAGGCTTCCATGCGGCCCGTGCATTTTGTCACGGTGATCTACGTCTCAGCAGCTCTGGGCCTGGTGTGTGGATCCACGGGCCGAAGAGGCCACCTGGACAGGGCTGAGCCCAGTGCCCCGGGGCCTCCCATGAGCCCCAAGTGCCCAGAGGCCGGGGTCCTTCACCTCGGGGCTCACTCTCTTCTCCCCACGATGTCACACTTCTGTTGAAGTGGAGACACAGAGACAAAGAGAGGCCCACCACCTGCCCGGGGCGGAACGCCCGCCAGGCTGCAAGACAGCCTCTCTCCGTCCCCTCCGGGGATCAAACCTCACGGGTTGGGAAGACCAATAAACTCGTACCGGCCTCTCTGGCTCACCCTGCCCTCCCACACGTCTGCCTGCTGTGGACACAAGTTGGGGAGCAGGGAGTCCATGCAGGGCACCCCCCAAGGGACAGGTCCTCCGGCTGTCTCTGACAGTCCTTCATTGTTGGCCTCCGTGCAGGGTGGCCGGCTCCCTCCCCCCTCACCTGGGCATGGTCATCACGTATGCAAATTTGGGCGGGCCGGGCACTGCTGTGGCCACCCCCGTCCTGCCGCCCAGGGCCTGCTCTATAAATAGCTTTGAGTCTTGTCTTCCACAAGTGAAAGCTCCCTCCGCTCTCTCCGGCAGAGGAAGAAACACCAGGACAGACGTAGGAGGCGAGAGAAGAGAGCTGCGTGAAAGACTTCCACGGGTCACGGGGGCGAGGACCGGGGTGAGAGGGAGGGCGAGGCGGGGCGACGGGGAGGGCCCAGGGTGAGGACCCGCGGCCAGGAGCCAGGCAGGGGCGGCCACACAGGGTGGCACGTGTCACGGTGGCATGGCTGTGGCTGTCAACCTCAGAGCCACCAGGTACAGGGAGAAGGGAGCGTAGAGGAAGCAGAAATGAAACCTGTACATGTCCCCAGCGAGCGGGGTCCAGGTTGGAGCTGCGAGAGCCCCGGCCCCTAACTTGGAAGGGCGCCGGTCGCCCCACGCCGGCCTCCCTGCGGCCGTGGGCTGGGCCCGAGCCGCCCTGTCCCTGGGAGCCTGGCAGAGGAGGACCAGGGCTCGGCGCTAGGCTGACGGCACGGCTCTGGGTGAGCCGTGGCCCTGCCGCCTGCTGCGTTGGCGGGCAGCCTCCACGCGTGCCCTGAGCACCGCCAGGGCCCTGCGCCAGCACGTAAGGAATAAGCGAGCAGAGGAGGGCTCGCGAGGACTGACCCCGTCGCAGCCTGGTGTTGACGCCAGGGCCCAGGGGAGGGCCACCCACGGGGCCGCTGGCTCCTCACGCTGCAGTTGGTGGGGCGTGGGGGCGGGCGGCGAGCCACTGGGACCTGGATTTCTTGGAGCCTCATGGCTCAGACTGTGAGAGGTGCGGCTGACGGCCGGGCCAGTAGGGGACCCGAGGTGTCCTCCTGAGTGAGCTGCACGAGGGCGCACACACGCACGCACGCGCACACACGCCCTTGCCCCTCCCACGGCAGCCCCAGGTGCAGAGCTCCTGGCTCAAGGCCCCACGGCCCACATTATCCCGGCTGCTAATCCTGGGCACCTAATCCCGAGGGTTTCCTCTCCCCGCGGCAACAGGTGGGGGCCCCAGCTGTGGTGGGGAGGCTCCGGGGACGAAGGACAGGCCTGGAGGCTGGGATAAGGGCTCCCCGGGAAGCAGCAGCAGGAGGAGGACGATCCGTCTGCTTCTCTCGGGTCCGGAGAGCCATCCAGGGCCTCCCCAGCACAGCTCGCGGCCCCAGCTGTTCCTGACGAGGCACAGGCAGCAGCGCAGCGGAGAGGGGGCAGCCCGGCCTTGAGCAGGTGCCCCAGGCCCCCCCACAGCACCCCCAGGCTGCTCCCATCCCGGGGGCTTCTTCCTGTGTGGCACTGTCTGGGGCTCACCTGGCTGGCGTCCCCCGGGAGCCCTGTCCCCCATCCGCGGGCAGCCCTGCCTCCTGAGCCTGGGATCTCGGGGGCTCACGAGTGCGTGCTGAGGGCTCGGCCACTACTGGGCCCACGGGACGGAGGTTGGTGCCGGCGGTGCCCTGAGCCGCCCGGGGCCTCTGCTGCCAGGCCCGCCCTGTGCACCGCGCCTCTGCCATCTGCGCCGCTCTGCTCTGCGGGTGGGGACAGCCGGCGCCTACCAGTCGTCCCCAGGTGCAGGCACTGTGGCTCCTCCCGCGCCCCACAGCCCCTCAGGCCTCCCACGCAGCCGGCGTTGGTGCGGAACTACCTGCCGATCAGTCAGGATGCTCGGAGAACCAGTCGGTAGGGGGTACGCGTACGTACGTCTGTGTTGCTTATGTATGTATGTGTTCTACGTATAAGCTTACGTGGAGACAGATACACACGTACCAAGATTTCTTATGAGAAACTTGGCCCGTGCAGTTATGGAGCTCGGCGAGTCCCCAGGTGCGCAGCCAGGCAGCGGGGAAGTCAGGAGAGGTAAAGGTGTGGCCGGCAGGGCGGCCTCCAGAGCCAGGCATGACGACCGGGTCAGAGGTAGCCACGCAGGACAAGTTCAGGGAAGGGCCGGCCCTTTTGGGCTATTCAGTCCTTCAACTGATCAGACGAGGCCCACCGACACTGAGTTTACCCATTAAAATACTGATTTGTCCTAGAAACACCGCTGCAGACACACCTGGCACCTCATGGCCCCCCAAAGTGACAGGTGGAGTCCACCATCACGCTGCTCTTGGCCCCGAGGCAGTCGCTCTGGGCCTGGCTGTGGGCAGGGGGCTGCGGGGAGGAGGGGAGTCACCAGGAGTGAGATGCCCTCGGGGTCTTAGGTGAGGCTGCCCGTGGACCCCACCTGGAGCCCCCGGGGGGTGGGGGGCGGCCTCTCCTGCCCCTCGGCTGCCCGTTGGCCTGCCTCCGCTGTCCCACATGCTCGGGTCCTCTGCCATCTGCTGCGTTGCCCCAGCTCTGTGGTCAGGCCTCACGGCAGCTGGAAGGTAGACACTCATTTTGTCCAGACCCAAGCCCAGCGGACAGAGGGAGGCTCCTGGGTACAGCCCGCAGGCTCCAGGAGGAAGAGTTCCCAGCCCGGCTGTGGGACCCGGTCCCTGGAGGGCCAAGTCCCGGCGCGCAGTGTGCCGCAGGGTCCTCCAGCCCCCCCCACCTGCCCCCCGGCTTGCCGCGGGGCCCCGGGACACAAACAAGGGGCAGCGGCCCCAGAGCCACAGCCTGGCCTTAATGTGGGTCAGCAACACTCCCTGGGCCCCGGCAGGGAGGGCAGCCGTGACGTCCCCGTCCCCTGGCTGACTGCTCGGGTGTCAGCGCTGCCCACGTCGGAGGCAGATCCTGGAAAGAAACTGCCCGTGAGTGAGCCGGGGCACAGCCCGACTCCAGCAGCATGGCCCAGGGGAGCTGATGGCCCAGGCACCAGGCCAGCAGCTCGGTGCCCGTTGGGCCTGCGCCTCACTGTGTGCACGGTGGGGCTCGGCCACTCCAGCCACCCTGCGGTCGTGCCGGGTGCGGGCTCTCCTGTGGGACGGGTCCCGCGGCCTTTGTGGTGAGACGGCAGCGTGTGCTTGGAATTCAGACCAAGCGTCGGCACGAGCACCTGTGCATCGACGTCCAGCGCAGCGTCTGGCACGCCACACGCGTATCGGTGCCCAGGTCGAGCCGGGCCAGATCCGGGTGCAAACTCAGAAACATCCTTAGGAAGTTCCATGAGACTCAGGACCATCCTGGTGGCCGGAGACGCCCGGTGTCGCGGATCCTAGGCTCACGGGGCCCCGGCCGCCGGCCTGTGGGTGGAGGGGACGGTTCCAGGCGCCGGGAGGGCCAGCCTCCCCATTTCTGATCCAGAGCCTCCGTACGGGCGAGAGCCTTCCAGACGGCACAGGCAAACTGGGGCAGAACTGGGGCAGGGGTAGGAAAAGTTTGCAACGGCGGGTTCCAGTCACGGCGTCCTGACCTGCCTGGGCAGTGAGGCGGGGCGGGAGCGCGTGTGCCCCAGGCTCCGGGGGGGAGCCCCCGGAGGAGGCCGCCCGGCCGCCCGAAGGCTCTGGGTGCTGCCACTCGATTCTCCTGTGCGCGTGGCGGCCACCAGTGCATCATCTGGCTGACACCCCAGACTGGATTCCCAATTTGCTAATTTAAATGATGTGATGTGTATGATTTGGCTTGAGCTTTACGTGCTCGTGTCCAAGATCCACAGCTGTTCAGGTAAAACTTGGCCACGGACTTGGAGCTGCTCGTTGCTGTTCTCTTGCGGCTTTTCTTTTTTTAAGGTTTTGTTTATTTATTCATGAGAGACCCAGAGAGAGGCAGAGACACAGGCAGAGGGAGAAGCAGGCTCCATGCAGGGAGCCCGATGCGGGACTCGATCCCGGGACCCCGGGGCCACACCCTGAGCTGAAGGCAGATGCTCCACCGCTGGGCCCCCCAGGCGTCCCCCTCTCGTGGCTTTTGATTTCCAAGGGGAGAACTTGTCGTTGCAGCCGTCCCTAGCTGTCCTGCTGCCTCCTGAGCCCTGCGAGGACCCGGTCCCCATCCCTGCCCCTGCGTGTCCTGCCGAGCCGGGCCCAGACAGTGTGGAGGGCGCAGGTGTCTGAGGGCGGCCGGGGTGTTGGTCACTTACCGGGGATGCCGGCCCGTGAAGGTTCCCGTGGGCCCGATGTGGACCGTCCATCCCCCCCCGCGCTGCCCTTTCTCATGGCAGGTGGGGTCCTGGGAGCCTGGAGATGCGGGGTTACCTGACCCACTGGGGTCGGGGGGAGTGAGGGCCGAGGTGGAGCATGGGAACAGGGTGGGCTGGGGTTGAGCGGACAGAGGGAGCGCTGGGGCCTCTTCTCACTAGTCGCCCACCTGCCACCCGCCGTGTCCCATCGGGACATTCTGAGCCCCGCCGCAGGGCAAGCCGGGTGTGCGCTGGTGACCCTCGAGTGGGGGCGTGCCCTGCCTCTACTGCCCCCACCATGGCACGTGCCCGCCGGGTGTGAGATTCCTGCAGAGCTGAGGCTGCACGGGGTGGAGGCCGCATCCACACTCCGAGCTCCCTCCAGGGCCCGAGAGCACAGCTCAGGCTGGCCCAGCAGAGGCCGCGGGGCCGGGGGGCCGGGTGATGCAGGGCCCCGCAGGGTCCCCACGTGGCCTTGTTTGGGTGCGCGGGTCTGGCGTGGACCCCAGCAGACCGGGGAGCGGGCCTCAGGGCCATCGCAGCCCCACGGGACCAGGCACAGGGGCGTCGGGGCGCAGATGTCAGTGCGTTCGACGGCCTGTGCCGGCCTTCTAACCGGAAGCTCTCCTCACAGAACCAAGCCCGCCGCTGGACTTCCGCCCCCCGCGCGGAGATGCCGCAGCGCTGCACGGGGGACAAGGCCGCGGTCTCCCTGCCGCCCCTGGTCTTCCGGAGCCCGCCCTCGGCCGCGGTCACGGACGCCCCCGGCAGGCGGGCGTCCCCCGGCTCGGCCCTGAGCCCGGGCGCCCCGGGGTCCGCGGCCCTCAGCCCCCTGGACCCGTGCAGCCAGCCGCTGTGCCAGCCGCAGGCGGAGAAGCGCGCCCGGGCGGCCCCCGACATGCACTACGTGGCGGCCGGGCCGCAGGGCGCGGCGTGCGGCTGGCGGACCTTCGCGCCCGGGTGCCTGCAGGCCTTCAACACGCCGCGGGGCTTCCTGCTGTTCCTGAGCGCCGCCGCCTTCCTGCAGGGCATGACGGTGAACGGCTTCATCAACACCGTCATCACGTCCATCGAGCGCCGCTACGACCTGCACAGCTACCAGAGCGGCCTCATCGCCAGCTCCTACGACGTGGCCGCCTGCCTGTGCCTCACCTTCGTCAGCTACTTCGGCGGCAACGGACACAAGCCCCGCTGGCTGGGCTGGGGCGTGCTGGTCATGGGCGCCGGCTCGCTGGTGTTCGCCCTGCCCCACTTCACCGCGGGCGCCTACGACGTGCAGGCGGCCGACGGCGTCGGGACGTGCGGGGCCAACCGCAGCGTGGCGTGCGGGGACGGCGCCTCGGGCCTGTCGGGCTACCGGCTGGTCTTCATGCTGGGCCAGTTCCTGCACGGCGTGGGCGCCACGCCGCTCTACACGCTGGGTGTCACCTACCTGGACGAGAACGTCAAGTCCAGCTACTCTCCTGTCTACATCGGTGAGCGGGGCGGTGGGCGCGGGGCGGGCGCGGGGCCCTTCACCTGCGTCTGCCCATGGCCGGCCGCGTGTGTGGCCACTCGTGGGGTAGCCGGTGAGCGCGGGCGTTCGAGCCACCCGGGGTGGCTGGTGCCCAGGTCAGCCGGGCCCTCCCCGCGGCCCTGCCCGCAGGCGCTGGGTGCGAGCCTCCCACTCCCACTGAGACACCAACGGGCGTGGGCGGCGACATGTCTGGGTTTCAACCTGGTGCCCCCTACCCCCACGTCCGTCCTGCCCGGCCAGGCGTCCCCAGGGGTGACACCGGCCGGTGCTCTGGGCCCGGCTACACCTGCCAGCTGCCTGCGGCCCCCGCATTTCTGCCTCGGACCCGGTCCCTATAAGTCCCGGTGGTGCCGACCCAGGGTCGCTCTGGGAGGGGCTGGGGGTGATGCTGTGCGGAGGCGTCCAATCCCGTCATCCCATCATCCCGCCAAGCGACGCCCTCAGGAGCTCGGCTCTCTTGAAGGAGCTAGAGTCCCCACGCGCCGACTACAGTTGGCTTTGATGGAAAAAACATGAAATCACTTTAGAAAGTTAATGGAGGGGGCGGGGGAGGAGGGGGCGCCTGGGCGCTCGGGCCGTTGAGTGTCGACCCTTGCCCTCAGCTCAGGTCCCGATCTCAGGGGCCTGCGTTCAAGCCCCACATTGGGCTCCACCCTGGGCGCGGCGCCTACTTTAACAAATAAAATCAATAAAAAATAAAAAACAATAAGGAGTTGACAGCGGCCGGATCCGGGACGCAGCGGACGCTGCACAGATGAAAACCCCGGTCCAAAGGGCCCGTGCGCCGGGGCAGAGGGCGCGGGTGCCGAGGGGCTCCCTCGGGTGGGCCGTGGGGCTCCCGGCGTCAGCGGCTGTGAGCCCCGGCGCCCCTGAGCAGCGCCGCTTCCCCCGCAGCCACCTTCTACACCGCGGCCATCCTCGGGCCCGCCGCCGGCTACCTCATCGGGGGCGCCCTGCTGAACGTTTACACGGACGTCGGCCGCCGGTGAGTGTGCAGGGCCGCCGGCCCCTCGGGGACCATGTGTGCTCAGGGACGACGCCGGCTGCTCCGGGGCCCGGGGCTGGGGGTCCGGGGGTCCAGGGAGGGGTCCCTGATCACTGCGGGGGGCGAGCACCAGCTGGGCGTCCTCAGTTCAACCCAGATCCCGCGGACTCCCCGGAGTCGGCGCAGACCCCGCAGGCTAAGGCCCAGCCCTAGGAGGCCCCCCTTCAGACGGCTGCCTCAGGCGCGGGGCCCCCGCCTCGGTCCAGCTGCACATCCGTGGCGCCCGCGACCTTGGGCGTGAGAAGCCTCCAGAACGGCTCACGGAACCCGGGAAGGCGCTTTGCGCGCTAGATTACCAGTTCACTAAACAGATTAGGAGGCAGGAGCCGCCAGATGGACGGGCCGCCGAGGGCGAGGGTGGGAGGGGGCGCGGGCGTCCGCGCTGTGCAGGTGCCACCCCAGCCGCCCGCCCAGAAGCCCCCAACGCCCCCGGTAAGGTTCCCACGGAGCAGCGTGCGGAAGGATGCCCGGCGTGGGCGCCTGAACACGCGTGGACGGGATGCTGACCGCAGGCCCCTCTCCACAGGACGGAGCTGACCACCGAGAGCCCGCTGTGGGTCGGCGCCTGGTGGGTGGGCTTCCTGGGCGCGGGGGCTGCTGCCTTCCTCACCGCCATCCCCATCCTCGGCTACCCCCGCCAGCTGCCAGGTGGGTGCGTCAGCCCCTCCCTGGGGCTGCTGGGGACCCCGGGACAGTCTGGGGCCTTCACCTCCTGGGCGGGGCCTGCAGGGCCTGTGCTGCCCACCCCGGGCACCCTCCGCCCCTGCGGCGCCTCCCGCTATGGGCTCAGAGCGGGGCCCATGGCAGCCTGAGCATCTGCCCCCTCTGAGCCCTTCCTCCCCCCGCCCGGTCCCAGCGTGTGTCCCTGGCTCTCTCCAGCTGGTCGCCGCTCACCGTGCTGCATCCCCACCACACCTGGCCCCGCGCCCTCCATCCCGGGACCGGCCCAGACCTGGGGGCGGGCAGGGGCCTGAAGCAGAGCCCTTGGTCCCCGCTCTCACCGACACGTGTCCTTCCAGGCTCCCAACGCTACGTGGTCATGAGAGTGTCTGAAACACAGCAGCTGAAGGACAGCGGTCCCACGGCCGTCAGCAACCCCGACTTCGGGAAAACCATCAGAGACCTGCCTCTGTAAGGACCTCACGGGGGGTGGTGTGGGCCTCTTGCCCGTGTCTGTGTGTCCCGAAGACCTTTAGGGGGGCCCCGTGCACGCTGGATCTCGACCCCAACCTAGGAGAGTCCATGTGACCCTTCCAGGGCCGCATGGTGAGCGCACAGCCCCTCAACCTCCCTCATGACCCAGTGCAGGGCGGGTCTCGGCCCCAAAACTCGACCTAAGAGACCAAGGAGCAGCAGCCAGAGGCCTCTGGTCCTGATGGAGGGCCCGGGCCCCAGCTCCTCACTCCGCCCTGTCCTCTGACCGGGTCATCAAGCACCACCTGCCTTTGCCTGGGGGCTCCAGGCTCGTGCCCTCTCTCTGTCTCGAGGCTCTGAGGACCCTGGGGGAGCAGGACTGACCCCAGCCCTCTGCCCTCTGCCCTGCACCGGCCCCTCTCCGGGGCTCCCCTGATCCTCCCTGTGCGTGACTGGCCTGGCTTTGTGGTCTTCACACGCCATCGGGACGAAAGGCCCCTGGCCTGCTCTGCTCTCGGAGCTCCTGGGGGCCCAGTACCCTCTCCACGGACCAGGCATTCCAGGGGGGCGGTCGCAGGGATGGGGAGGGAGGCCCCTGGCCAGGCGCCCACCTGAGTCCTCGGCCTCGCTGAGCTGCCACCTGCCCCTCCAGCCCTCTGGGACCGCCCGGGAATGGCTGTGTCTGACAGGCCTTGTGGGGCCGGGGGCCGGTGGTGGCTGGAATGAGTCCCCGTGCCTGCCTTCACCGGGGGGAGGGAGAAGGGCCTCCAGGGAAGCCCCTGTGCCTCCCACCGTCCACTGCTTTGCTTCTGCTGTCATGCTACGGGCGGAGGGTGGGTGGCCCCCTGCTTCCACGTCCCGTGAGACCTCTCAGGAGCTGCCCCCAAGGCAGGCCGGGCTGGCCCAGGGCCTCACCAGCCAGGGTGCAGGAGCCTCTGTCTGGGGGCAGCTCGCCCGGTCTCCCGACACCGCGGTGGAGCCCCCGGTGGAGCAGGCCCTCGGGTTCCCTGCACACAGCACCCGCGACCCAGCCCGTGGGCAGCCCCGGGGCTCCCTCCCGGCCGCCCGCCCGAGCGTCCCGGCGCAAAGGCTAGGTAGGGCTGCACTGCACGTCCCTTCTTTCCAAAGTCCAATTGCTCGCCGGCCTGTGCCTCCAAAGGGAGAGCATTTGAGGCTCAAGGAGTTTGCAGCCGCTGTGACAGGGCTGCGAGATGTGGCCGGTGCTCTCCGGGCTGGCATGGGGACGGCCGGCGGCGCTCGTGGACGCTGGGTCTCCGGGGGGCGGGGGGCTCCCGAGGACAGGCCTGGGCACCTGCTCCGGTTGTAGAGCAGCTCTGAGTTGTACACTCGGGACTGAAAGCACAGGAGGCCGGGTCGGAGCCGCCCAACGGCCGCTGGGCGCCGGAGAGCGAGGGTCTGTCCCGCCGTGACCTGGGGCTCCCGGCCACATCGCCCCCGAGGCCGGGGGCCAGCAGACACCTCCGTGCTCTAGTCCAGGCATCTGCTGTCCGGCGGCTAGAGGGCTGGGGACGGCTCGGGGAGTCGGGACGCGCAGGCGCTAGAGCTCCCGGGCGGGGTGACCGGCTGCCCCACAAAGACGGAGCGTCTTTACTCCCGGACCCCCCCACCCTTGGCTGCGATCTTTGTGTGTTTTCCACTCTGGGCTCCGCTTCCTTCACCAGCCCCGTGAGGACAGCGTGTTCTGTGCCCCTCATGACATTTAAGGGGCAGGTGGGGTCACATGTGTGATCACAGTCAGGCTCTAGCCCTGCTCGGCCTGAACCCCTAACGGGATCCTGGGTCCCATTCAGCTGGAGCGAGTGGCCCCCAAAGAACTTGGGCTCATCCCGAGGGCAGGCAAGGTGGGGCCGGGACTGGTGACCGGCCAGGCTCAGCGAGGACACGGAGGATGGCAGCCAGGGCCCATGTCCGACCCTCACAGTGAGGCTGGAGGCCAAGGGTCCCCCGGGCTGTGCAGAGTCGCACTCCCGGTCCTCCCAGGACCTCTCCAGGGACCCCAGCAGCAGCCCCCCAAGTACGCAGCAGAGCAACTGGGGAGCCAGCCACGCCCACCCCGAGGCTCCTTGGAGGCCCCTCTGTGTCCCCTTGAGGGCTGGCTGAGAAGGGCCCCCCCGCGTCATCCCCCATCCGCAGGGCCTGGCCAGTCCTGGACTTGGGGACAGCCACCTCCGGGGTCCCTGGCTCGGGCCGTCCGCCCGTCCTCACAGCTGAGCCCGTGGTGACCGAACAGTGCACGGTCGTTGAGGGTGTCCCCGCGCTGGAGGGGGCGGCCCTGGGAGGGCTCCTCTCCCTGTGTTTCCAGCTTTCTTCCCTGGAGCCCAGCCTCACGCCCTGTCCTCACGTCCCTGGGACAGATGCAGGGTCTGGGACAGATGCAGGGTCTGGGACAGATGCAGATGCAGGTTCCGCAGCGGAACGGGGGCTGTGCACCCGGGAGGGGGGTCCGTGGCCTCGGGGACGGGGCTTCCGCTCAGCCTGGCGCGCCCCCCTGAGCCTCCGTCTCTCTCTGGCCTCCGCGTGCAGCTCCATCTGGCTCCTCCTGAGGAACCCCACCTTCATCCTGCTGTGCCTGGCCGGAGCCACCGAGGCCACGCTCATCGCCGGCATGTCTACCTTCGGCCCCAAGTTCCTGGAGGCCCAGTTCAGCCTGAGCGCCTCGGAGGCTGCCACCTTGTTTGGTGAGAAAACTCTCTGGGTGGGGGAGGTCCTCTGACCTTTCGTTTGTTCTCCATGACTGAGGGGTCCTCGGAGCATCCTTCAGCAGTCCCAAGGGCTCCCGGCCGTGTGGTCCTGTCGGGGGCCCAGGAGCGGGCGCGGAACCGCCTGACGTGGCCACAGGGATGCGATGGCTCCTCCCCGGAGCTGGGGACGCTGGCCGGCTCTTGGCCGACGCCTCCTGGTGGGAGGGTGGGGTGGACTCGGCTCACGTGTGCCGCCCATGCACCCACAGGCCTGGCCATCCTCACCCCTGGCCTGTTGCAGGAAGGGCTGGGACCCCACAGCTCTGGACCTTCGGGCTCGGCCATGCCCGTGAGCCAGGTGTCTGGGGTCCCAGGATTCCATGGGACCGTGAGGTGGGCGTCCCCGGCCTGTGCCTGGGGCGGGCTGGCCCTCAGGAGAATGAGGGGCCCTCCTGAGACCCCCCGCCACTGTCCAGGGGCAGCCGTGGCCTTGCTGAGAACCCACTGGGCAGAGGGGCCGATGCCAGGCACTGGGTCTGGCCCCACGGGGGAGGATCCTGGCTGGAAGGGGCGACGCCACGTGTGGAAGGTGGGCGCATCTGGGCAGCACGAGGGCCATGCAGCTGCACCACAGCCCTCAGGGCTCTGTTCCTGGCACGGGGCTTCGGCATTCAATTCGGGTCCCCGTTCCCTGTTACCTGACACCCCAGACACTCCTCCTCACCTGCCTCTCGGCTTAACCTCACACGCCCAGGCCTCCATCTGCAGCTGCCTCCCCTTCCCCGGGCGGCCCCCTCTCCTGTGCCGACAGCCCCCCAAGAACAGCTGCATCCTCCAGGGTCCCCCATGTTCACCCCAGGGGTGTAAGAGGTCCACGCCAGAGCTGGCCTGGGTCATTGCTGGAGAGACGGGCCCACCGAGCCCCCACTGCCATCTGCCCCCCGCCCGGGGACGGCCTGGGAGCCCCGGGCCAACGAATCCCTCCTTCATGTGAAATGGCACTGGTCCCTGCTTTCCCCAAATGTGGCTCACAGTTGGACTCAGGTGTCCTGGGGGCCCCCCCAGCAGGCAGGCCGGGGGCTCTGACTTCTCCTCCAGTCCCGCCCGGCCCCTGCGTCCCCTGGACTGAGCCCCCAGCCCCCACCGTCCAGCGCCTGACAACTCAGATCAGAGCCAAGCGCTGCCACATGGACAGGTGGGCGGCTCCGGGCCTCAGTGTCCCCACCTGTAAAGATCCAGTGGGCACCGGCCCCCCTCCTCCGGCCCCTGGGGACCTCGCTGAGCACCTCCCTCTCCTGCAGGGTACCTGGTGGTGCCGGCGGGTGGCGGCGGAACATTTCTGGGCGGCTTCTTCGTGAACAAGTTCAAGCTCCGCGGCGCGGGCATCATCAAGCTGTGTCTGCTTTGCACCCTGACCAGCCTGCTGGCCTCCTTCGTCTTCTTCATCCACTGCCCCAATGTGCCCATGGCCGGGGTGACAGCCAGCCACAGCGGCAGGTGAGGGTCGGGCGGTGCCGGCGTCGAGGGGAGACGGGGTGGCCCCAGGGGACGGGGAAGGTGGGAGCAGGAGCCACGGTCTGGGGTTTTCCATTTGAGAGGACAAGAGAGGAAAGCGTGTGTCTGTGCTCGCAGGCGTGTGCACACACACATGAGCGTGCGGGGTGCAGCCGAGCCCCGGGGGGCTGGCGCCGTGGCGGAGGGTTGGCCCCGGCACGCCTGTCGTGTCGGTGTTGGGAGCCCCGTGCACACGTTGCCTGTGCAATAACCGAGGGGAAGCGCGTGTTGCAGCCGCGGTGGGGGAGCAGGTCGGGGTGTGGTGCGCCGGGCGCGAGGCTCCAGCAACCGCGTGGAGCAGATGAGGCTGGGGGCCGAGCCCGAGCCCCCCCCACCGCCTTGTCTCCCCCGCAGCCTCCTGCCCGACGGCCACCTGGACCTGACGGCCCCCTGCAACGCCGACTGCGCCTGCCGGCCCGAGCACTACAGCCCCGTGTGCGGCTCCGACGGCCTCACCTACTACTCGCCCTGCCACGCGGGGTGCCCCGGGGCGGCCGTGCCCAGCCCGGGCGGCCAGAAGGTGAGTGGCCGCCGCCCACGTGCCGTCCGCCGCGCCCCGGGAGGGCCCCTGTCCCTTCCTCCTGTAATCAGCGCTGTTGTTGCGCTCCTCAGGTGTACCGAGACTGTAGCTGTGTCCCTCAGAATTTTTCCTCTGGTTTTGGCCATGCTACTGCAGGGAAATGCACCTCAACTTGTCAAAGAAAGCCCCTCCTTCTGGTTTTCATATTCGTTGTAATTATCTTTACATTCCTCAGCAGCATTCCTGCGCTGACGGCAACGTTACGGTAAGCCCCGGGCCTGGGTTTCGCTCTGGTCCAGAACCTTTCCTTGCAGCCCGCCGCGTGGAGCTCTGCAGATCCTGCAGGGTACGTGCTTGCCCCCCGGGGAGGCGGCCACGCGGCCCGGTGGCGCTCGGCTGCCGGCGTGGGGGTGTGACTTGGCCACCCTCCCCGGGCGCTGACGCCGCCGCCTTCCGTTTCAGGTGCGTCCGCGACCGGCAGAGATCCTTCGCACTGGGCATCCAGTGGATCGTGGTTAGGACTCTAGGTACTGTGGCGCGTGTAGACTTGCGTAGCCGCCAGCAGGGCTCCCAGCAGGTGTGCCTCCCCGCCCCCCAGCCCCGCGGGCTTTGGAGGACATCATCCCCTCGCAGTCCACTAGAGGGACCCGTGCCCGCGTCTTCGCCCGGAAGGTGGCTTTTCCTCCTTAGCACAAAGCGGGGGGCCAGGCTGTGGGCCGAGCAGCAGCCGTCAGGCCTGCCCCCCTGCCCGGTGCCCGGTGCTGACCCAGCCTCTCTCTGCAGGGGGCATCCCGGGGCCCATCGCCTTCGGCTGGGTCATCGACAGGGCGTGCCTGCTGTGGCAGGACCAGTGCGGCCAGCAGGGCTCCTGCTTCGTGTACCGGAACGCGGCCATGAGCCGGTACATGCTCGTCTCCGGGCTGGCGTACAAGGTGAGGCGGCATCATCACCCTGCAGCTTGCGGGCGGCCTGGGGCTCCGGTCAGCGGAGGCTTCGCAGAAATGCCACCCAGGTCCCCTCCTGCGTGCAGACGCTGGCGCCCCCCCCCCCAGCCAGGCGGCTCGCTGGACCCACGTGTGAGCAACGCCGTCTCCTGGCCTCACGGTGCCCAGGGCGCCGCACGCCCCTCACCCGGCCCTGTCACGATGAACTTCTGGGGGCGCCCGAGGCTCGCGCTGCGTGGGGGGCAGCACAGCATTTATATCCTGGATTTTGCGTGATGGCGGGAAAGGGCACAGCGAGATCCCAGGGCCGGCCTGCGACAGGGTGTTGATGACCTGCTTTGGCTGGAGGCGGGCTCGGGCTCCACGTCCTGCCTCACGTTGTTCTTGAGCCCCCACCCCCCGGCCCCACGGAGGACCCGCCGCCGCCTCGGATTAGCAGAAAAGTAGCCCCGGGGTGAGGAGGGCTTGGTGTGGCTCCCGCGTGGTGGTGGGTCGGGCTCCTCGCCTCTTGCTCCTGTGTCCTCCGGTCCCTCAGGCCAGTAGCCGGGCGCCCGCCCACATAATAACCCCCTGGGTGGCGGCGCGCCGATGGGATCGCTGCTAAAGGCAGGGTTAGTTTTAGCAGGAGGAGCAGACAAGCTCCAAACGCGTCCCATTCGGTCATTGTCCCAAAGTGGAAACTGGCTTCAGGCCCCCCGGGTGGGGGGATGCTCCAAGGAGCACGGGGGGGTTCCTGCTAAAACCCGGCACTTACACGGTCAAGTACACGCGTGAACGCAGAGGCCAGCATTCGTGCCCACTCCTCCTCGAGGCTGCGAGGGACCCCGCGGGAGCCCCACGTCGCAGGGTCAGCCCCAGGCCGCTCCCCAGCCGCGCAGTGGCCTGGGTCCTCGCCCCCTCGCGCCCCCCGCGTCTCTGCCTCCGCGGCACGTGGCCGCCGCCCTGGCTGCTCTGTAAAAGCGCTCTCTGCTCGCTCCTGCCCGGACACCCGGCACCGCAGGCGGGGCCACCCAAGGTCCAGGGCGATTTCATCCCAAGATCCTTAACTGAGTGACACCTGCAAACACCTATTTCCAGCTGCAGGTTCTGGGGGTCAGGGCTGGGACGGCTCTTCTGGGGGGCCGCTGTGCAGCCGGGACAAGCCCTCCCCCCCATCTGGGGCCTGTCTTCACCCACATGTGGTTTTCATTCCCTCTGTGAGAGTGTTGGTGTCGCGCGAGGGGTATCCCGGAGAGATGGGTGTTCTCGCCGGAGCAGGGGGTCCCCGGGACCCGGGGCCGGGCGGGCAGCGAGCTCTTCCTGTCTTCGCAGGTGCTGGGCTTCCTGTTCTTCGCCATCGCCTGCCTCCTGTACAAGCCCCCCTCGGAGTCTTCCGACGGCCTGGGCGCCTCTCTGCCCAGCCAGTCCTCGGCCTCCGACAACGCCATGGACCTCCCGGATGCCCCCTCGGCCCTCCAGCCCCACAGTGACGTCTGATGGGGCACTCCCGAGGACACCGATTTCTCCCCAGAAGGGCTGACCCCTCGCCGGTTGATGCCACAGTGCTGAGGACCCTCCAGGAATCTCCCACAGGATGCTGAGGGGTCTGCGCTGGTGGTGGACGCACGTGAGTCTCAAAGGCGCCCAGGAGAGAGAACGCGAGGTGCATCCGCAGTGGGCACAGCTCCCGCGTGGTCCCCGGGGGCCAGGCTGATGGTCTCTCCTGAGGAAGAATGAGGCCCAGCGGCCCCTCCCTTCCCGGTCCTCGCCCGGCGGACGGACGGACATAACCGCACAGCACTGAATTGTCCCGGGGGCTCCGGAACCCTGGACACGGTAGCAGCCGTGCTTGCAAACAATCTATGCAACCGTACCGCGCTGTTAGCTCTAGAAAGTGCAAAGCCCCCTGCAGGCCGAGGCCGAGGCCGAGCTCTCCAGGAGCCTGCGGGGCCGGCACACCGGGCGCCCTGACGGTCGAACCACTGGCTGAGAAGTACAAAGCCCGGCCCCCCGCGGCCTCGGGTGTGGCTCACCGCATCCTGGGGGCAGCCTGGCCCCTTCCGGGGGTTCTCCTGCAAAGCGGAGGAGCTGCGAGGCCGTCCCCGGGGGCTTGGCCCCGCTGGAGCCGCCTGCCTGGGGTGTTCAGACCTGCTGTCCCCTCCTGTCCTCATAGCTGCTGCAGGACGGGAGCCACTTGCATATGTAGATATTTATGAACCAATATTTTGCATCACCTTATTTATAGAATCTGTTTTATACCTGAGAGTGCGGTGGGCAGAGTGGCACAGTCAGCAGGCACCTGCGAATTCTGCTGGGAGGACGTCGGGACTTCCGTGGGACGTTGGTTCCCAGGTGTCCTCAGTTAAAATTACGTGTATATAAATATATTTTAGTATTTAAAACGTATCTCTGTGTGATGAGTTTTGTCTCCACGAGTTTGCAGTCTGGTGGCTTTATACATCCTTCCTGTGGGGTTTTGTGAGTTTGTGTCTCAAAGCCGGTGGCGGGCTGCCTCCCCGATGAGCACTTTCTGGACCGTGAACCCACCTGGCAGGCATCTCCCGTTCCCCACTGTGACTCAAGCATCCCCTCCCTCCGGAGTCCAGCCCCCGGGAGGCGGGCCGGGGTCCTCCACCCAGGGCCCCCCTTCCTGCCACTTTCCTGAATGACCTACAGCTCAGGGTGGAGACGGGGGTGGCGGACACAGTAGGTAGTCCAGCAGTGCGTGCACGGGACGTGGGACAACAGGGACACCCGGCGCTCCCCGGACGTCCGAGGCGGGTGGAGCCGTGAGCACTGGGGACAATGGCCTGGCCGCATCCTCCTAGCGCCCAGATGTGGCCACCATCGTGCTCAGCTTCTTAGAAGAAGCAACGGTGGAAGGGAGACAAGACTGCCAGCTGGGGTTCTGAGCACCCTGGCCCAGAGTCCCCGCGACGGCACAGGCAGGGGCCCCGTCACCCCAAGCCGTTGGGACACCCAGGGCAGGTGCCCCTCATTGCTCATCCGCAGGCATGGGGCACTTCTACCCCTTGTCCTCTGGGGACCCTCTGTGAAGGCTGAGGACTGAGGCCACAGGGTCCCTCCTCTGCTGGAATTTGGGCCCCAGGCACCAGCTCTGGCTGCGACTCTGGAGCTCAGCACCCAGGCTGCAGCCCCTCCCCGCTGGGCGCCGGGGAGCCCAGAGAGGCCACAAGCATGGCTGGGGTCACGGGGGAGCTTGGAGCTGGGCTGGGGCCCAAACCCCAGACGGGGCTCTCTTCCTCCCTCTCCCCACGATTCTGTGAATGTGAGCTGGATGCTGGGCCCCTTCGGCTCCTGACCCAGACACTTCCACTGGCCAGGACCAGGGGGCAGGGTTAAGTGATGAGCGGGGACCACCCGGGCTCCCTGGCCCTCTGGACCCGCTCAGGACTGAGCGCCTGCTCCACACCAGGCCCAGGCTGAGTGGCGGGGAGCTGGGGAGGCGCTGCCCTGGGACCCGCCCTGGGACCTGCCCTGGGACCCACCCTGACACCTGCCCCGGGCCCTGTCCTGACACCTGTCCTGACACCTGCCCTGACATCTGCCCTGGGACCCACCCTGGGACCCGCCCTGACACCTGCCCCGGGATCTGCCCCGAGGGCTGCCCTGAGGGCTCCCGGCAGCCAACCCAGGGCAGGAGGGCAGCAGGGCCCTGGGAGGACAGCTCAGCCAGGCGCTGGGATTCACTCTCGGGCGGTGCCTGGCCCCCTCTGGTCCCCGATGCCCTCTCCGGGCGGAGGAGGCCCAGGGACCCCAGGCACTCGGCAGAAACAGGGGCTTCCATCCTGCCTTCCTCCTTGGAAGGGCTCTGAGCGGGGTGGGTACTGCTTTCAGCTCGTGTATGTCCTTAAACAGCTTTACTGAGACCTGAGTCACCCCGTAACTCACCCACTGAAAGCCCAACTAGTGGGTTTTAGTCCAACCAGAGCCGTAGGACGCTCGCCGCGGCCAGCTAGGGCGGCCTCATCACGCCAGGAACGCCCCCCCCCCCCCCCACCGCCCAGCTCCTGCCCCGGCAACCGAATGTACTTTCCATCCGCTGCCCGCTCGGGGCATTTGCTACAGGCGGGAGGACACGGGGCCTGGTGTCCCCGCCCCCCACGAGCACTGGTGCGTCCACGCTGGAGCCCGTGTCGTCGGGGCGAGTGGCAGCCCGCTGCGTGGGGGCACCCGGGTGTCGGTCGTATTATTTGAAGAAGAAACGCCGGTCCCGGCCTCTCCTGGCCACTCCCAGGCTGAAACAGTTTCGATCACTGCGACGTTGGAATCAGTGTCCTGCAGGATGGTGTCCTGCAGCAGGACCGGCCAAGAGCCACACTGAGGCGTTCTCGGGGGACACGGCCGCGCACTCGCAGCCCCACGCTCGCCGGTCCGGACAGCGGCCCCCACGCCGGTCCACGTCCGCTGACCCCAGGCCGTGAGGCCCCGGGATGGGGTCTGTGAGCTCACCACCGTGACCACGGGGCCGGGCTGGCCAGGGAGGGGCGCCCCGGGGCTCGGAGCTTCAAGGGGTTAAACCACAGGGGCAGGTTGGGGGAGCGGGCAGGAGAGGCCTCCTGGGGCGGAGGTGTCTGCCACCACCTCACAGGGGATGGAGGGAGCAGGGAGCCTGGGGGGGGGGGTGAGCTGTCACCTGGCACGGGACAGGGGACAGGGCTGTGGGCTGCTGGTGAGGCCCTGGAGACCCTGCAGCAGGCAGGACGGCGAAGGCGGGCCGGCTCCACGATGGGCCTCGGTGCCATGGCGGGCAGCGGCTTCAAGCCAGAAGGAGCCCCTCCCTGGGGCCACCCCGTCTGCCCCCCCCCCCCGGCTGTGTGGCGGCTGCACGGAGGATGGGAGGGAGGAGTCGGGGCAGAGGGAGCACCAGGAGGCCCCTGGAGGGCCCAGTGGCTCTCTTGGGGCCCTGTGGCTCTCTGGGGGGCCCTGTGGCTCTCTGGGGGACCCCACGGCTCTCTAGGGCACCCCGCAGCTCTCTGGGGACCTTGCATCTCCAGCCACACTGGCCAAGGCCGGGGTCAGGGGGCCGGCTGCGCGCAGCATGGGAGTGAGGACGCCTCCCTCCAGAGCAGGCAGGGCTCCTGGCTCCCGGGTCCCAAGCACCACGACCTGTCCTTCCGCAGATTCCTGACGTCCTGTCTGGGGACAGTCACCCCTCGGGGGATGGCGGGCATCTGGGGTGTTACCCCGCTGCTTGGCATGTGCGCGTGCATGCGTGTGCCCGCAGGTCCTGTGCACGGCTGACCGTGCACACGTGCACACACACACTCCCCTCTAAAGCACTGTCCCCTGGATGGTCCCAGACCTGATCCTGGGGGGGCTTGCGGTGCAGGCTCTGGCACTTACAGGTGTTTCACTTGAGCAAGTGATGTCGGCCGCGTGCCTGTCTCCCATCTGCTCATGGGGCCCAGACGGAGACCCGCCCCCGCGCGAGGCCAGGGTCTGGGGGAGCTCCGAGGACGCCCGGCCCCTCCGTGCTGGTCGCTGCAGGACCCCAGGGGCCCCTCCCTGCTCTGGTGGGAGCCGCCGGCCCCCGAGGCCTGGAGTGGCGCGGCCTGAGCCGCCGTGACTCCGGGTGATGGTTTCCTTGCGTTTCATGGGCAGCACATTAGAATCGTGAGCGTGACCGCGGACACCGGTCGTGCGTCCAACCTGCTGGGTCCGCAGCTGCGCCCGCAGCCCGTGCGTCCTGCTCTGCCTCATTCTGCGCCATCGGATCCGGCACGTGGGCGGGCCCCAGGCTCGGGGGGCTTCCTGCAGGAGCACCGTCCGCGGGGAGAGCCTCTCCGTGGCCTGGGGGGGCGACCGGCGGGCTGCCCGACCTGCGCCGGACGGGAGCCTGGGTGGCCTGGGGGCGGCGGGAGGCCGCGAGGACCACCAGGACGAGAAGCACAGGCAATCGGACGTGGGCTACGTTATGAAGTCGAAGCACTTCCTAACCTGGTGTGTCACTTAACCTTTCCGTGCCTCAGTCTCCCCACCTCTGAAATGGGCATGATGTGGCCCTATGTCTTAGTGGTTTGTCAGTGGTTTATGAAGACGAGGGTCCCTGGGCGGGGACTAAATGCAGCAGACGTGTTCGCCAGGTGATTGGAATGGTCATCATCCTCGCTGGCAGGTAAGGACAGCAGGGCACAGCCGGGTCAGCCGGGCTCCCAGACGGACGTGAGGGACGCTATGTGCACCTGTGCGGACGTCCTGTGGCAGAGGCAGGGGGGTTGGTGATCTGCCAGCCGGAAGGCGCGGGCCCAGGAAGCCCGTGGGGAGATCCCGGCGGAGTCCAGCTCCCTGAGGCCACCCCCCAACCCCTCCCAGGAGTCACTCATTTGCTCAGGAGCAGTGACAGCACTCAGGCCATCCCGCGCCCGGGAGTCACTGGGGGCCCTGCACCCCCATCTGGGGGCTAAAATGTGGTCAGGTCGGGGCTGGGAGGGGGTCAGGTTGGGGCCCACAGGGGGTCAGGTCGGGCCAGCAGGGGTCAGGTCGGGGCTCACCGACCGACCGTGCAGGGAGGAACCGTCTCCCATCTTGTCAACACAGGTGGAGGCCAGAGGGGCCGGCGCAGGGGTGGGTGGGACAGAAGCAGTAGGATGAGGTGGGTGGCAGGTGTGGGGGACCTGGCGCTCTGTGCCCCTCACCCGCTAGCCAGCGCCCCTGGAGACGCCCCGGGGCAGCTCCGTTCCCGGGCCCTCCCCACCCTGTGCTGCGGCTGCACATGGGGTCGCCGGGTCACCGTGTTTGGGTGTCAGGAGGCAGAGCAGGAACGCGGGGACCCGCAGCCTTCCCAATACCCTCGTCGCACCCCGCGGGTCGGGAGCACACGGGTCCCCGTACGCACAGGTTTTCACGGGACAGGACAGTGAGCGTTTCGCCTCCTTTGGGTTTTCTTCCTCCAGGACGAGCCCGTGGCGCATCTCACACAACAGGTGAGTCGGTGCCCCGGCGGCCGGCAGCGGGTGAGCGCGGGGCAGGCACTGGGGTTTCAGGGGTGCCCCACCCTGGCTCCCTCGAGCGTCCACCTGTTCCCTCTCCGTGGGACCCCGGGTACCAGTGTCCTGACCACCCCCCCCTGCCTCGCCCCCACCCCCCCTGCTGCCTCCCTGCCCCGCAGGACAGGACACTGTACCCCGGGCTGTATGGACGCGGACCCAGGTAGAGACTAGAGACGGGGATGCAGAGCGAACCCAGGGCCGCGCTAACACGTAGGGGTTTATGTGGAGCCTGCTCCGCCAGAGGAAACCCCGCCCAGGGTGGGGAAGGGGGGTCCTCCAGGCTTCCTCCTCCAGGCCTCCCCCTCCCCCCCTCCCCCCCCCTCCGTTCCCTCCTCCTTCTCCCCACCCGCCCCTCCTGCTCCTCCTCCTCCTTCTCTCCTCCTCTTCCCCACC